ACATGAGATAATATATAGTGTCAATTTAATAAATAAAAGCTATTTTATTGTTGTCATTTATGTTTATTAAGAGAAAGATCTTCCTCCTGCCCCCTTTCCCATCAAGTCCACTCTTTACAAGGAGTAAGTGCTAATGGTGTTTTTTTGTGTGTTGCCTTTCAGCATGATGATGTGATTCAAAATATTGTTTGCAAAAATGGATGCTGATTTAAATAGATTCTTGGGGCGCCTGGGTGGCGCAGTCGGTTGAGCGTCCGACTTCAGCCAGGTCACGATCTCGCGGTCCGGGAGTTCGAGCCCCGCGTCAGGCTCTGGGCTGATGGCTCAGAGCCTGGAGCCTGTTTCCGATTCTGTGTCTCCCTCTCTCTCTGCCCCTCCCCCGTTCATGCTCTGTCTCTCTCTGTCGCAAAAATAAATAAATGTTGAAAAAAATAAAAAATAAATAAATAGATTCTAAAGCAGAAATACAGATTTGAACAGGAAAGGGATGTCCTATTGCTGAGAGCAGTGCTTCTATTTTGGAAATGTTATTCTTCTAAGGCCAGCATAATTGATGGGTACCCTCACCAAACATCTTTCCCAAGTTCAAATCATGAGCAAGTTCTCCAGGTTGTTACAGTGCATAGAGGGATGACAGTCTGGCTCAGTCAGAAGAGCATGTGACTCTTGGTCTTGGGGTCATGAGTTTGAGCACCACATTGGATACAGAGATTACTGGAAAACAAACTTAAAAAAAATAGAGTGCACATAAAGAGTTTAATAAATGGGAATAAAACCACCCATCCAGTGACCATTAAGAGTCTAGAATTTTAAGAAAAGAAAGCTATTGCCTACTTGAAATAAATAATTTGGACAGAATTTTAAGTATATATTCTATTGTGGTAATCACTGAGGGCTTGACTCTGGGAAGCATCATAGATGGATTTGAGATTTCAGTTAAATAATATACAATTTATCCCAGACTTCTAATTTAATTTGAAAAGAGAAGCAACAAGGTTGAACTAGGCTTCAACCTTTCTGAGTCAGGTGGCCTGAGCTGGTGGGACTGCGCCGAGGTGCTTAAAAGCCTTATTAAAAATGTTGCGATCCCCATGAAGCTCTACTACACCCAAGTTTACCAGGAGATTTGGGTAGCATGAGGTTGATGGGCTTCATGACTTATAAAATCAGGGTTACTGATTAAAAAAAAAAAAAAAAAAAAAAGTAAAGCTTTGAAAGCTCTGAGTCCTGCACCTGCTCACGGTCATCTTTAATCAGCTTTATTTGAAGTACACATCAGAGGGACTATCAGCCTGACTGTAAACTTCAGGAAGCTCTGTTGGATGGGAACATGGAACATCATGTGTACACTTGTAGGAGTGTTGTTCCCTTTGTGGCATGAACAAATGTACCTGTGAGATACACTTAAAAAAAGATTGAAGTAGGATTTTAGACTAAATTTATTTATTTATTTATTTATTTATTTATTTATTTATTTATTTATT